GAGCCCCGCCCTAACACCAGAACCCCTGACCCTGGGCCATAAAATTCACAATTCTGGAAGAGGCAATCTTGCTCATCATAACTATGTGCTTAGTTAGTGTAGTTAATACCCAGGAGCAGAGAAGAAGATTTTCAAAGAAATAATGCATTTTCACTTTATAATCTACAGAGCCCCGCCCTAACACCAGAACCCCTGACCCTGAGGCTATGAAATTCACAAATCTGGAAGAGGCACTCTTGCTCATCATAACTATGTGCTTAGTTAGTGTATTTAATACCCAGGAGCAGAGAAGAAGATTTTCAAAGAAATAATGCATTTTCACTTTATAATCTATAGAGCCCCGCCCTAGCACTAGAACCCCTGACCCTGGGGCCATGAATTTCACAATTTTGGTAGAGGACTCAATGCTCATTACATTCATGCCAATAGTTTACCTGCTTGATGTCCAGGAGTAAAGAAGAAGATTTTTAAAGATTTCATTAATTTTAGTGGTTTTGGCCCCACCCCTCAGGCCCCAGGGGGGCAGGGACCATGAAATTCACAATTTTTGTTCCCTCCACCCATAGATGCTGTATACCAAATTTGGTTGAAATTGGTTCAATGGTTTCAGAGAAGAAGCTGAAAATGCTCAAATGTTAACACACGACACACGACGCACGACGGACGACGATGGACGAAAACGGATAGCAACAGGTCACCTGAGTTACTCAGGTGACCTAAAAAAAAGAATAATGAAAGCAGAGTCTTTGTATGGTGTCATTTTGACAACTATAAAGATAAGTGGGTATTTTATATCATATATTCTTATTTTGTGAAAAGGTACATAGGTTTTTGAATGAAACATGCACGCTAGATATAAAAAATCAGAATGGTCTAATTAAAATTTGAAGATAACAGTTCGCAAATGCTGAATTTTTAAGGTCACATCTGTTCAACTAGATCAATAATAAATATAAACTACCGGGGTATTTAATATTTTTAAGTTCTCACCAAGAGCTTCATATTTGGTGACATTTTTTAAAAATCTGCCTTTTGTTTTTACAGTGAGATTTGAGAAACTTATTAGCATTCTGAGATGGTAAATAATTTATGATATGAAAACCTACAACTATGGTCTTCACAAGAAATGAATACAAATTACAGCCAGAAAAAAAGGTTGTAATTTGTTTTTAGTAAGCATGAAGTTCATAAAAAAATTAATGTTGCTGGACGGCCTAATAAATTATCACAGCTCTGGAACAGTAAGTAAAGGTCAAGGTCAACATATAGCTACAAATAAAAACTACATGTACATGTGAAAAAAAAAATCTTCATTTAAATGACACAAGTGATGAATGAGACCTGTGTAGTAGAAAACAGATTTAAACACATATATGCCCTCATACATCCTTGGTATTAACTTTCTCTTTCTACATTCATTGCTGCCTTCTAATAGAAAGTATATTTATAAACATTAAAAGGACACACAAATTGTCATATCAAATATAATACATTTAAGTATGTAAGATAAATGATGTATTCTATCAAGAATATGTAATGTTAATAAACATTGCTTACATTCATGGATACAATAAAAAAAATATTCTTTTTTTTTAATGTACAGTTAGTGTGAAAAAACTTCCATTTGTTCTCATTATTTTCCTTGTATCACTAATCATAATCCTTTGGGGATGATAAAATGTAAGAGTCGGGCCAAAAACATTATCGTTTAGATTTCAAATTTGGATGAAGCAGGATTTTTTTTGGTCAGTTGATCAACAAAAAGATGACATCAACTGATCAAATATTTTTGTTCTTTTACATAAATTATAATAAGTTCATGGACTAAGTTTAAATAATGCTCTTCCAAATATTTGTATAAATATATCAAATGTATAAGCATTGTGAAAAGGGGAATAACTCAAATTTCCCTTGAACTTGGGAAAATAGAAAGTCAAGATATATGTACAGGCATGCAGCAATAGTGGGGCTGCTTTTTTTCCAGATATAACTTTTACTTTCAGGTAAGTAAAAAAAAAATCTCTGGCTGCCCATCCCCCTTTCAAAAAAAAAAAAAAATTATGCTACGTCACTGATGTATACTAAAATTGATCTTTGATGACTTGATGGGGAAGTGCCTGAGACATTTAGATGATTTTTTTGCCTGACAGCAATAACACAGATTTACAGCAGCTGCCTTAAAAGCAACAGAGTATGCAGGGGACAGGTGTTTACAGATCATTTCATACAATGTACAAATTAAAGTCATATATGGCATATAACTGATAATTCAGATAAACAAGAGGCCCACGGGCCTTATAGGTCACCTGAGCATTATGCAACAACTTTCCCGTTATTGAATTTGATTCATGTTTTAACTTAAGCCAGATGATATATGGCATTCACAATTTTGAGAGGCACCATTGATCATCATAACAGTACACTTAGCAGTTGCTTAGCTTGGTTACTAAATACCCATACGCAGGGTAGGGGAACAAAAATGCATTCCAACTAATCAGTAATATTCAGCAATAATCAGTAGTGCCCCTAACACTGTGACATAAACCCCTGACCCTAGGTCCACACATTGCACAAATTTTAAAAAGGCACTCTTAAAATTGCCTATCAAAAAATAAATAAATGTTTTATAAATACAAAGGAGCAGATTTCAAACAATTAATTCATTTTCAGTATATAAGTAGAGCCCCCCCCCCACCCCTGACCCAGGGTCCTTGAAATTCACAATTCTACAAGATTAGGGCCCTTGCTCATCATGACTATATAGGTAGTTCATCTGCTTCATACCCAGAGACAGAGAAGAAAATTTTCAAAGATTTAATGTATTTTCACTATATAATCAATAGAGCCCCGCCCTTCAGAACCCCTGACCCAGGGGCTATAAAATTCATAATTTTAGAAGAGGCATTCTTGCTAATCATAACTATGTACTTAGTTAGTTTATTTAATTCCTAGGAGCAGAGAAGAAGATTATCAAAGAATTCACATATTTTCAATATATAATCAAACAAGAGGCCCATGGGCCTTATAGGTCACCTGAGCATTATGCAACAACTTTCCAGTGATTGAATTTGATTCATGTTTTAAGCCAGATGCTATGGCATTCACAATTTTGAAAGAGGCACCATTGATCATCATAACAATACACTTAGCAGTTGCTTCAGTTGCTTAGTTTGGTTACTTAATACCCATTGACAAGGCAGAGGAACAAAAAATACATTTCAACTAATCAGTAATATTCAGCAATAATCAGTATAGTGCCCCTACTACACATGAACCCCTGACCCTTAGGCCTAGATCCACACATTGCACAATTTTTGAAAAGGCATCCTTGCTTTTCAAAAATATTTGATTATAATTTAATTAATACCTAGGAGCAGATTTCAAACAATTCATTCATTTTCAGTCTATAAGTATAGCCCCCCCCCCCTCTCTATGGTACCCCTGACCATGGGGCCTTGAAATTCACAATTTTGGAAGATAACGGTCCTTGTTCGTAACTATATAGGTAATTCAACTGCTTAAAACCAAGAGCAGAGAAGAAAATTTTCAAAGATTTTTTGTATTTCACTATAATCAATAGAGCCCCCCCCTAACACCAGAACCCTGACCCTAGGGCCCTAAAATTCACAATTGTGGTAGAGGCACTCTTGCTCATTATAACTATGCATTTAGTTTGTTTATTTAATACCTAGGAGCAGAGAAGAAGATATTCAAAGAATTCATGAATTTTCACTATATAATCAATAGAGCCCCCCCCCCCCCCCCCCCCAACACAAGAACCTCTGACCCTGGGGCTTTAAAATTCACAATTTTGGTAGAGGCACTCTTGCTCATTATAACTATGCACTTAGTTTATTTAATACCTAGGAGCAAAGAAGAAGATTTTCACATAATTCATGTATTTTCACTATATAATCAATAGAGCCCCCCCCCCTTAACACCAGAACCCCTGACCTTGAGGTCCTAAAATTCAAAATTTTGGTAAAGGAACTCTTACTCATCATAACCATGCACTTAGTTAATCTATTTAATAACCAGGAGCAGAGAAGAAGATTTTTAAAGAATTCATGTATTTTCACTATATAATCAATAGAGCCCCCCCCCCTTATACAAGAACCTATGACTCTGGGGCAAAATTCACAATTTTAGTAAGGCACTCTTGCCCATCATACCTATGTACTTAGTTAGTTTATTTAAAATCTAGGAGCAGAGAAGAAGACTTTCAAAGATTTAATGTATTTTCACTATATAATTAATAGAGCCCCACCCAACACCAGAACCCCTAACCCTGGGCCATGAAATTCACAATTTTAGAAGAGGCACTCTTGCCCATCATAACTATGTACTTACTTACTTTATTTAATACCCAAGAGCAGAGAAGAAAATTTTCAAAGAATTCATGTATTTTCACTTTATAATCAATAGAGCCCCCCCCCCCCCAACACCAGAACCCCTGACCCTGGGGCCATAAAATTCACAATTTTGGTAGAGGCACTCTTGCTCATCATAACTATGTAAGTAGTTTGTTTATTTAATAAACAGGAGCAGAGAAGAAGATTTTCAAAGAAATAATGCATTTTCACTACATACTTATTTAGCCCCACCCTAGCACTAGAACCCCTGACCCCAGGGCCATGAATTTCACAATTTTGGTAGAGGACTCATTGCTGATTACAATCATGCAAACAGTTTGACTGCTTGATGTCCAGGAGTAAAGAAGAAGATTTTTAAAGATTGCATAAATTTTAGTGGTTTTAGCCCCACCCCTCAGGCCCCAGGGGGGCAGGGATCATGAAATTCACAATTTTTGTTCCCCTTCACCCATAGATGCTTTGTGCCAAATTTGGTTGAAATTGGTTCAGTGGTTGCAGAGAAGAAGCTGAAAATGTTCAAATGTTAACGCACGACGAACGACGGACGACGAACGACGACGGACGAAAACAGATAGCAATAGGTCACCTGAGTTTACTCAGGTGACCTAATAAAATTTTTTAAAAATCTCTGTATTTGTTTTCTTACTTTATAAGATATGACTTTCCTGTAAATTACACAAATTCATTCAATAACTATTCAAATATTGGTAAAAATTTTCATTTAAACATAAATAACATTATAGCATGTATATATAAACTCAATCTTGCACACTGTAAACCAACTTTTATTCGGGACGACTTTATTTTGAGATTTATCGAGGGTAAACTAGTTCGCGACTATTAATCTTTGCGATCAAGCCTTTTTTGGATCAGTTGTTAATAGAAACAGAGACCTTAAAGCTCGATTCACCAAGAGAAATATTTGCGGTGACTAGGCCCCCGCAAAATTCTTGAAAATTTCTCGCATGCGATTAAAAGTTGGTTTACAATATATATAATTTTTTAAGCACATATATGTCATATATAGCTTTAATTTGTCTTTACTGTGATGTCATATCTCAACAAATTCAGAAACACTTTCTAAAAGTGTTCTGTTTGAATCATATATTTACTTGGATTTGAGAGGACTTGTTCGGTATATTTCTGGATATTTTCTTTGAAGAACCATTTTGGCGAGTTTTTATTTCTGCCAATTGGTGGATAAAATGCAGCTTTTCTATGATCCTTTCTGAACACGATACACATTCTGGGATAAGAGTACATACCCTCAACATCTCTGTCCTCTGGAAAATAAAATAACACAACATGAAGAAACAATACTTCCACTAAAAAAATCTTTTATAGAGGTGTTCCTTAAAAACACTTATGTTGTTTTTCAGAACCATCCAACAATGAAATCCATGGATTCTGATTAGCCAAGATGAACTAATTCCACTTTTACAGTAAAATGCCAAGATCATTAAATCATCAAACATTCCTATTTAAATTACTCACAAGTAAAACGAATTTTTTGGAGTAACCAGAATATGAAATTGAATCAATGAATGGATGCTTTGACTCCTACTTGCTGTGTTCTTAGCTTTTTCTTTTAAATTTTAACACAATTTATACAAAATTTTTTTTTTACAACAGAAGCTAACCCTCTGACTACAAGACTCTATACACAATCTCACTGTAGTAGGGATGACTGTATACCTCTGATCAGGGTTTTTTGGTAATCCGCTGGAACAAACTGTCCAGCCCAGGCCGGGTATTGATTGACGTCTAACGTGGTCACCACCAGACGATCGTACAGGTCACTGGCTACAGCATGAAGTGTCTACATTGAAGAAGGGTACAGTAAAAGATTTATTATCTTCCCCAAATAAAGTCTGGAAACACATTTTTTGTTTCACTTTCTTTTTCAAACTTCTCTGGTACTTTTTGTCTGTGAGTGTCTTGGAAACTACTGAACCATTTGAGGTGAAACCTTTAGTTTTCAAGAATTAACAGGCCTGTTGTGTAGATGTGCACAAGAAAGATCATTGTGATTGTTGATTTTTTTTTTTATTTTATGTATCAGTATCTGTACAATTTTCATAAAAATGTTTTGACTAGTTTACTGTCAGTGAACTTATTGAACTAAATACTGGCTGAAAAACCTATGCATATAACAACAAGATGTGTTTGTGAAACACTATGCACCCGGCGGCAACAAAGTTTAAAAAAACTATTTTCAGCAGATAAGTGAAAGTCAAAGTCACAAGGTCATTGACCTTGGTGTCATTTGAAGAACTTCATTAGTGGAGTATGCACACCAAATATGAAGTCTCTATCTCTCATGGTTCAAAAGTTATGGTGAAAATTTTCTAAAATCTATTTTTAGCATATAGGTCACAGTCAAGGTCACAAGGTCATTGACCTTGGTGTCATTTGAAAGAGCCTCATTGGTGGAGTAAGCATATCAAATATGTAGTCTCTACCTCTCATGGTTCAAAAGATATGGTGAAAATTCAAAAAAGCTATTTTTAGCAAATAGGTCATAGTCAAGGTCACAAGGTCATTGCCCTTGGTGTCATTCGAAAGAACTTTATTGGTGGAGTATGCATACCAAATATGAAGTCTCTATCTTTCATGGTTCAAAAATTATGGCGAAGGTTAAAGTTGACAACAGACAGACAGACAAACAGATAAACAGACAGGACAAAAACAATATACGCCTTGGATCTATCGATCCGGGCGCATAAAAAATATATTTCATAATAATATACATACAGAGACAAAGTATGGCCAACTAAAGCTTATCATTGAATATTTAATTAAAAGTTGTAATAAAGAAAATCTTTAATTATACAAACCTGCAGAAATGGTGAGTGTTTGGTTATGTTTTCTTGATGTACAAGAGCAATCAGGACAGGTAACTCCTCATCTTCTGACCTGTGATATTATAAAGTGTTTACTGTTATACCATAAGGACTCTAATATCTCAAATCATCTGTGAGAAGTGCTATTTGCATGGAATGTGGTAGTGAAGGAATCCTTGGATACTTTCACATTAAACAATGCTTAACAATGCTTAACAAATGGAACAATTTCCATTCAAATTTTTTCCTGTTCTCATTTCACAAGTGGTTCTCTCTATGAAATTTTCAACAAAAAAAGTTAACTTTTCTATGCTCCCCCTTTGATATTCTTTTACAAGTAAAGTACATGTTTACTATTATACATATTGGACAAGGCCTTATTCTGGTATCTAACATATAAAACAGACAGGGATGATAAACAGCATAACTTTGGTATCTCAAACACTGACATCTTGAGTACAAAGAATAAGTAAATAGTGGGTTAGAGTTGAATCATAGGATAGCTCAAAGGTTTTCCTCTCATTCTGGTTGAGTTCGTAACAAGATTTAACTGTATGTGCTTGACTTGACAATTAGATGACAGACATCTCACCTACCTGATTTCTGTGTGGAATGCGTCTGAGGTGATGTGGGTGACAGGTAGACGGGAGTGGTCCAGTGTGAAGCTGGTGATAAAGTCTGTACATACACCATGGTCATCCTCACATCTTAAGGTAGGACCAAAGGTATACCTGTATATGTAATAAGGTAAGAATATAAATTAACAAATGTGTAAATGTAGGTTCATTGTTCTGCTATGTTGATCGAATTATAGGTAAATGATTTCAAAAACATTGGTACTTGTCACATGAAATACAGTGCACCTGTGATGTGAAAGCCCTTGCAACCACCATTCAGAAGTTATTCCAAAGGGTAAAGTTTTTCAAATGTAGGTAAAACTCAAAGATCAAAGTCAAAAGTTGAATAATATTAATATCAAGGATAAAGTTTGGTAAATTTGTAGATTAAGCTCCAAGGTCGTGAAATTAATTATGTTGGTACCTAATGAAAGGTTTTAACTTCTGAAATGCTGTGAAATATGAAACCTTTAGCATCAAACATTATAAAATTATGGACAAGTTAATGTTTTTGCAGAAAAACAAACAGATTAACTGATAAAGGGAAAGACAGAGAAACCAAAACTATATGCCTTCAAATCTTTGATTGAATGAAAGAAAATCCTCAAAAAATTTGGTTGTACTATGAAACAATTTTACAAAAGTAATGTTCTGTTTTCCAAAACCCAACTGTATAATTTTTTTAACATAACAAGTATACCATAGAACAAACAAATTTCTCTTTAAAAAAAAGAGTACCAAGAAATTCTTTCTGACATTTCCTAGAAACCAACATAAACAAAAATTAATTTTTATGACATTTGAATTTCCTGGCTCTTTAATGTTCCTAAATGACAAAAGGAAGTTTGATATAAATATACATTAAAAGTTACCTCATCCCATAAGCAATTTTTCAAACAGTAACCAACCTGTGCTTTCTGTGAAATCTATGAATAGCAGTTCCTTCTTGTTCCTCTAAAATGGCAGTCAAAGATTTTCCCAACTGTGTTATTACAGCTTCTGCACCATCTCGCCTTTGTAATGTTAACTACATGAACAAGGTTAAAAAAAAAACCTAGTTCTTTATTAGAATCAATGGAAATTATTAAATTTTACTTATGACCACAAAAGAAATCTTAAATTCACAAACACTTTTCAAGTACACAGTTTATCTTTAGTTCTTTACCTACCTTGGTTATAACTAGTTCCATGTGCTGGTCCTGATATTCTCTGGCTGGTATCTCTGAGCTGTACACTGTGTAACAGACTGCCTTCCCAAACAGCCTTTCACAAGCCAGCCTAAAGCACTGGTAGGAGTAGTAGTAGTCAGGGTTCTTAGTGTGACACTATAATATTTTCTGGGGAATTTATATTTCACATCCTCCTTCTGAAAAAAGATGCAAACCAAAGATATAGGAAATGTGTACCAGAGGCTGAGAGCTGTTTTGTGAATCTTAACTTTTTGATTTAGATGTATATTTATAGGAATTTTTATCTACTGTACTTCACTTCTAGATATGAAAAGCTGCAAACTAGTTTAAGGGACTCCGATCCTCAGCCAGGAAGTACAACTTTTTGATTTATAATTTAATTTAACAAGAGGCCCATGGGCCACATGTCATAATTTTTCTGTTCTTTAAATTTCATTGTTATACATAATGCATCCCCACATTACCCCACTGATCATAATTTCTCATTTTGAAATCTACACTACCCCATGATCCTTCCATTGGCACATACATGTATGTTTCAGCTTTTTTTGGCCCAGTGGTTCCTGAGAAGATGATTTTCAAAAATTTTTCCTATATATTTCTATGTAAAACTTTGAATTCTCTATAATGGCTCTTCCCCCGGGGGTCATGATTCCTACAATTTACAAAAGGACAGTTTGAATGCTTCCACATAAATTTCAGCTTTTCTGGCCCAGTGGTTCTTAGAAGAAGATTTTCAAAGATTTTTCCTATATATTTCTATATAAAACTTTGATTCCCCATTGTGGCCCCGCCCTTTCGGGTGTCATTATTTGAACAATTTAGAATCTACACTATATCAGGATGCTTCCACATAAGTTTCAGCTTTTCTGGCCCAGTGGTTCTTGTTTTCAAAGATTTTTCCTATATATTTCTATATAAAACTTTGATACCCCATTGTGCCCCCCCTTCCCCTGGGGGTCATGATTGAACAATTTGGAATCTACACTATACCAGGATACTTCCACATAAGTTTCACCTTTTCTGGCCCAGTGGTTCTTAGAAGAAGATTTTCAAAGATTTTTCCTATATATTATATAAAATTTTGATTCCCCATTGTGACCACAAATGATTTGAACAATTTAAATTACACTATACAGGATGCTTCCATATAAGTTTCAGCTTTTCTGGCCCAGTGGTTCTTGAGAAGAAGATTTTCAAAGATTTTTCCTATATATTTCTATATAAAACTTTGAATCCCCATGTGTGGCCCCGATATTCTCTGGGGGTCATCTTTGAACAATTTACAATCTACACTATACCAGGATGCTTCCACATAAGTTTCAGCTTTTCTGGCCCAGTGGTTCTTGAAGAAGATTTTCAAAGATTTTTCCTATATATTTCTATATAAAACTTTGATTCCCCATTGTGGCCCCGCCCTTTCCCCGGGGGTCATGATTTGAACAATTAGTCTACACTATACCAGGATGCTTCCACATAAGTTTCAGCTTTTCTGGCCCAGTGGTTCTTGAGAAGAAGATTTTCAAAGATTTTTCCTATATATTTCTATATAAAACTTTGATTCCCCATTGTGGCCCCCCCCTTCCCCCGGGGGTCATGATTTGAACAATTTAGAATCTACACTATACCAGAATGCTTCCACATAAGTTTCATGTTTACTGGCCCAGTGGTTCTTGAGAAGAAGATTTTTTAATGACCCCACCCTATTTTTGTCTTTTTGATTATAGGGGATATGTATATTTTAACAATTTAAATTTTTACCCAAGGATGCTTTGTACCAATTTTTGTAAAAATTGGCCCAGTGGTTCTTGGAGAAGTCGAAAATGTGAAAAGTTTACAGACGGACAGACAGACAGACAGCTGGACAGACGGACGGACAGACGGACGGACGACGGACAAAATGTGATCAGAAAAGCTCACTTGAGCCTTCGGCTCAGGTGAGCTAAAAAGTCTCAAAATGTAGCTTGAAAATTAAATTTTTTCATGCAACAATTTTCATTATATATCTTTCAATGTGTTTCAAGGTTCTTTGAAGTTCTCAGAAAGGTCTAATTAAAAGTCGAAATTTTTACCCCGTAAAAGCATTTTAAAAATACATATATCAAGAAACTGATGTTCAATTTAATCTAACCATAGATAACAATGTTAATTAACATGATATGAAATTATAAGAAGTGATTTATGGAGCTTTGCAATGACAGGAGAATCTTTATACACTTTGTAAAATGATACATGTAGAAGTAAATAAAAGAAATTAAAGTACATTATACGTATAAAAATTGTGGAATTTCTTCAAAAGCCTGGATACGTATGATTTTTATTTTTGAAATGTTTTAATTGATCAAATTTGATTTGGAAATTGCAAAGCAGGTGTTTTTATTCGCAATTCCTGAAAATATACTAGAGATTTGCTAATTTTCTCTATATAATATGATTAACTTGAAAGATGAAGTTTGAAGAATTAGAGACATTTTTGTGAGCATTTTCAATTAGTCAATGCTTGATTTTCAGAACCTGAGGCTCGGAATACCTTAAATGTTTCAGTTTGGAACTTACCATTTCTTCACTTGGTTTTTCAAACATGAGATTCAAAATAGATGTTCCTGCTACTTTTCCAAACCATTTCATAATGTCCTTTTCCTAGAAAGAAAAATTTACTATAGAGCTGTAATTCTAATGGCCAATATATCTAGGCAACATTAGGAATTATCAGGAATCAATAAATCAGAGTATTTACTGTAAATGTATTACATTTAGCATGTATGATGTATGGCAGAAATTGACTTTCAAACAAATTAACGTAGATTTGATTTAGTGCATATTTCTCAATGTTCTTATTTATGCTTATATGTGCAAGACAGTAAGTGTTGTACTTGAATTAGCGGAAATTTTGTGCTAAATATAATACACGCGCTAAATATAATACGATTATTAACATGAAGATTGGATTATACCTTGAGACTTATTTATTACCTGAATGACCCCGTGGTAGTCTACCCTGGAGTAGGGTAGGTGTGGGGTGTCGGGGGACACACACTGAGAGGTCCCTAGCCATCCCTGTCCCCGGAAAGCTGTGATGTAAGGGTATCCCCTAATGTTGTGTGTCACACACAGTTCAGGCTCTGTTGTACAATTCACCAAGTACAGTGATCCACCCTCTGAGAGAAAATCATACAGGAACTTAAACATATGTACAGCCAATTTCAAATAATTCATCAAGTGTTCTTAACACAGGGATTTTTGAATTGTAACAATCTTTAATATGAATTTTGCCTCATTATATTTAATAAAATAAATTATTAAATACTAGTTCAATAATGACATAGAAAACAATACAAACCAATGAAATGGAGTGATTTCTGCACCTTCAGTAAAGTTTCCAGACTTTTAACACAACTTCTACAGTCAGCCTTAACAAATACTACCTATAATACAAAAGATACTGGATTTTACATAACTGGTCTATTGTCATGAATTTACCTTTAACAGTTACTTTAAAATACACATTATACATGTATACATATACACTCACCAGTGCTACCTTTGACACCTCCCCTGCCCAGCGATTTCCTCCCAGCAAGGGGTGTGAGGGAGCATGGGATTTTTCTATGACCTCTGACCACATGTCATGTGATAAAAGTGGAATACCATGAAATTTTTTCAGCTTTCTGTCCACATTTTCAGATCCAAACTGCAATGAAATTATTATAGAATTGACTGTAAATTAATGCAGATTTGATAGCCTTCAAATTTTAACAACACAAAGTTGTATACTATACATTAAGTGTCAGAGTGTCATCAACATTCCAACACTAAAATTTAAATAATACAATATGTAATGCAAGTTTTTCTTTTACGAAGAAGCTCATGTACATGTAGAAACATAATTTAAAACCAGAAGTCTCTGTCAAAACATGTATCACTAGACTGAAAAGAAGATAGCTCTACTGGTTTGTACTTATCAAAAACCATTGCACTATTTTATGTATCTTTGTGTATATATTCTACTTGTGTGCCAGCTTATTTTGAAATCAAACTAAAACTGTAGAAGGAGTAGCGTTTTAAAGGAATTTCACAGAAAATTCTATTTTTAGTAACCATGGCAACACCGTTCATTGAAATCAAAAACCGATGCACTATTCTATGTATCTTAGTGTAGTCTACTTGTGTGCCAAGTTATATTGAAATCAGACCAAAACTGTAGAAGGAGTAGCGTTTTAAAGGAATTTCACAGAAAATTCTATTTTTAGCAACCATGGCAACACCGTTCATTGAAATCAAAAACCGATGCACTATTCTATGTATCTTAGTGTAGTCTACTTGTGTGCCAAGTTATATTGAAATCAGACCAAAACTGTAGAAGGAGTAATGTTTTAAAGGAATTTCACAGAGAATTCTATTTTTAGTAACCATGGCAACACCGTTCATTGAAATCAAAAACCGATGCACTGTTCTATGTATCTTAGTGTAGTCTACTTGTGTGCCAAGTTATATTGAAATCAGACCAAAACTGTAGAAGGAGTAGCGTTTTAAAGGAATTTCACAGAAAATTCTATTTTTAGTAACCATGGCAACAACGTTCATTGAAATCAAAAACCGATGCACTATTCTATGTATCTTAGTGTAGTCTACTTGTGTGCCAAGTTATATTGAAATCAGACTAAAATTGTAGGAGGAGTAGCGTTTTGAAAAATTGTTTACAGACAGACAACAACAACAACGACAGACAACGGACGGACGCCGGACGCATTACTATCGCATAAGCTCTTCTGGTCTCTGACCAGTAGAGCTAAAAATAACTATGTGTTTTACCCTTTCATGCCAGCCCTTTTCCTTAGTGTGTTTCTTCTGAGTTGGAGGTTTCTTCTTTATTTGTTTGACTACAGGAGCAAGTGGGTCACTGTCTGTCATATTGTGTGACCAGGGATGACAAAGACGGCCCAGTGGTCCCTCATCCAGTAAAGAATACTGAAAAACAAATGGCATAAGTTTTTTAAATGCAAAAAATGAAAATACTGTATACAGAGTTAATTTCACCCTTTCACACTTGCAAACAATTCTGCCCCATGTTAAATTCACCCAGTTACAGTTTTGTTTAAGAAATTATACTGTGTTCTTAAATCTACCCTGTTTTAAATTTGTCCATCTGTAAGTAGGGCAAAAGGAGCGAAAATAAAATGGGTGTGAAAATTGTCCTGTATAAAGTACTCTGGAACTTTAATGTTATAGGTACATGTAAGAAGAAGGAGAAAAGACATTCAATACAGTAGAAATTGTTGAATTCAATCTAAAGCCCTGACCTGTGTTGCATCCGTTTGACCATAAGGGAGGTAATCATTAAACAGTGTCCCGTCTTTGTACGTAATATTGACAGTGGCGGACTTAAACAGCTGGTACAGGGCAGAGGGGGTGGGGCGGTCCTCCAGCAGTCCCTCCTGAATGAGGTAGTCATTTCTCTCATCTATAAATATCTAACTTTTTTATCTTTGAGTCACCATTTATTCAATTTGGTTGTTCAGCTTTTCAATCAATATTTCAAGGAATTTGAAGAATCTTACAGGAGAAGGAATGTATTTTGAAATATTGATTTAATTCAGCAGCTGCACATTCAGTAATAACGTAACAGTGGAAATATCCTTTAAGAAAATAATTTTGTTGAGATATACATAGATGTAACCTATACCTGTATGAAAGAGTATGGTAAATGGTACATTTCTGGCAACTTTGCTTCTGATCCATTTGGACACCACTGTAAGAAAAAAAAAAAGAATCTATTTACAAGGAAAATTCTGTGCTTCTACTCAAACATTATGTATGGATTTTTTTTAAAGATCTTCATTATTTAGAATTCCTTGCTTTGTGGAATATATAAAGATTCCCCTGCCATTCTCTTAAGAGAAATTACCGGTAAGAAAAAAACCTTGATGATAATGAATTTTCAGTGAAAAAATATTCCACTTTGTTTATTGCTTTTAGCATATTTATTGGTGTGTTTTGAAGTTGTCACTTTTGAATATATTGAAAGTTCATTTTCCTGACATTTAAATTTATTGTTCTTTACATAAGTACATGTAAATATAGATATGAATCAAAGAAAATACCTCCTTGCCTGTGAAAATTTGTATGTCATGTTTTGAACTCTCCATATAAAACAATAATATTTACATTTTTTGCCTGCCTCCTGTGCTAAGTCCACCATTCCATACTCCAGGGCCACGCCCAGCTCCCGGAATTCCTCCACACTCCTCCTAAAGGCTGACAAATAGGCCTTGACATTTCTTCCCCAGTAGGCATAGAAAACAATGACCTTGGGGATGTAACGGGTTCCTCTCAAGGTCATTACATTCTTCTCAAATTCCTCCTAGTAGAAATATAAATAATATGATAATGAAATGTAATATTACCCCCCGGTGATAATTGAAAAGCCAAAGGTTTACAAACAAATTATAGCTAAAAAACATTTTTTGTCAGAATAGATCTAATAGTTTATGGCTCATCTCAGTTAAAAAAAAAATATCTAAAAAATTCAAAGCAAATTTGATATTTTGACACTTCTCAAATGTTTTAAGTGCATTTTCTAGCATTGCTATTAAATTCAGACAATTTTTTGTAACAATTTACTTGCTTACTTTTCTGATCGAGTACTCGATTTGTGTATTTAAGATTCAATCTATTTCATTGTACAATATTTTTCAAATTGTTAAATTGATCTTTTATGAAATATTTTCAGACAAGTAAAGTTATGTTTGGACGAGTAAATTTCACAGTCATTTAAGTAAGTAAAAAAAAATTGTGGAGCCCTGAACAGATTTTCTTATTTTTAATATCAGGAGTACATATAAGTCCTACCTCAGTGTAAGGAATTACTGAGCTGATCTGTGAAGCTATCAGGTGGATTTCTAACATAGCTGTCTGTATATGCTGTCTGGAGAATAACCGATAAATAAATTTGTTCTTTCCTCTACCTGAAAAAAAAAACAGGTATGACTCATATCCTGCATTTTTTTAAGTTTCAAGTACATGTACCAGATAACTTATTTTCTTTTCAACATTTCTAATATGAATATTTGAGGGGTACTTCTGATCTAGATGATATGGAGCTACATGTAATACACCTTAAGACTGACTTACTGTCTTTCGTTATCACAAGAATAGAAGGTATTTCTGGCACCTCATAAAGCTCTTTCAATTCACTACAATGTAAACAAAAGTAAATTATTTTCGAGAGAGAGAGAGAGCAATGCACTCAAAGAAATAATCACAAACTTCCACCTTGTATATGACTTACTTAGCGTGAATGGAGTATGGATGTATGATGAAGGCTTTACAACTGGGGATCTGCTCACTGAGCTGTGCAACAAAAGACAACAGATTAATCATATCTAAAATATTATGCTTAAAATCTTTTTCCCTATTTCAACTTAAAGAATTTACAAAAACTACTGCTAATTATGTGTAAAGATGTTGAAAGAGATGTTATAGTTTTAAAATGAAGCCTGGTTGATAGATGTGTTCTTCAACACTTTAGTCAAAGCTAATATGACTAGTGCAGAAGGTACTATTGACGTAGTGCTATGTATGTATATCTTCTCTTCATTTTTTAGATATGTTCAATATTATTCCAGTTTTATATTTCTTTGCAAGCAATTTTGATATTAGATATTCTTCCCCACTGATAACTGAAAACATTTATTTTGTAAATATAGACAAAAAATAGCATTATCCCCCTTTGACCATGCATTCAACACTAAACTGTCACTGAAGTTATGCATGCACTTGGTTGTTTTCTACAAATACTTTTTTATACGAATTTTACATGTATATTTTGATTTATCATGAATATGTTTTAAAGATAATGTGTGTACATTGCACTATGACACTATCTAAAACAGCTTTAAAAGTGGCATCAATCTTGTGTGAAGCTATAAATGTTTTGTACACACCTTCAATCTTACTTATTCCTGGTTTGTAATAATCACACAATTGAAATACTTTCCACTTGAATTTCTCATTAATGAATACTATATTTATATATATATTTACTGCTATTTATTTACTCAGTTAGTTTTCTCTTCAATGTAAAATGCTCCATAATATTTATAACATGAAATAATAGACTACCACATGATGATGCAACCAGAGAGTTATTTCCCTTTACATGTCCTACCTGGAAAACTTTTTCCTCCACATGGTGATGGTTATGATGATCTGGAAAAGCCAGGATTGTTGTATTGTGTGTATCTATGGCAACTTTAACAAGATCAGGAGAGGCGTCCTGAAGCTGTTCACTGTGGCGATCAACCTGTATACAGAAATAGGATTTTTGTTTAACAGTGTTAATTTTTCAAATACGATTCTCATTTGTGTGGAGCATTATTTACAATACTGTTACACAGTATTGCAAATTTTAAAGAATTGAAATACATGTATACTAAGTGTATTGATTTTATTTTGTGAATCTCTTGGTTACAATTAACCTTGGTTTATTACAGCCACTCATTTGTGCATTTGAACAGTTATTACTTCATCAATATTATACCAACATGTTTGCAAGGTAAAATGTTACTGATTATTTGTACATTCATACTTGTGTTTTCAGTCTTACTAATTTATTGAGCCACTGATTGATGAGTGACTTTTGTGATTTTCCTTCATACAGATATGATGAAGACTGTCCCAGATAACATTTAACTGCTGGCATGTGCTCTGGTTTTCTCTCCCTCACCGATTCATGCTGAAAAATTTAAAACATTTTTTAAACATAAAAGATACATAGAGAAACTTCTTCTTTATCAATAAATTAAAATGTACAACTCAAATAATAATTTTAAAAATGTATAATTTTATTCATTTTACAAAAATAATGTTCAGTCTGGATGATTTTATAAATAATTGTGATTTATTTCTAAGATAAGTTGTTATCAAATACTTATACAGACATTACATCTACATGTCAAGATAAATAGAAATATACTTACTCTGTCAAAAGAATAAGACCCAAATTGCCAGTCCTTGTAACTGTTTGATTCATTTTTCCATAGGGAATAAATATGTTTCTCTAGCTTAGAACCTTCAGTTGCTTGAAAAAAAAAGGTATAAAATTAGAGACAAAGTCTAAATAATTTATAACTCTATATCCTATATCATAAGATGAAATGATGTTGAACTGCATGCAGGGTTTGATATTTATATCTAAATACCCACTTGTTTGTGACAAGTTTGGTTGAAAGTGGAATGGATATTAAAACATTAAGAGTTGATCGGCATTGTTTTTGATTGTAATTTTTCTTCTCATGATATTAACTGATCTGATGTCAATATTTGGTTAAAACTTAAACACATCTAACAGCTCATTCAGATGTTCACATTTTTCAATATTAAAATGAGATACTAACCTGTGTTCCTAAACAAAATACAAATAGGTAAGTGTCTGGAAGACTTGATGTGCCTCTCCATGGCTGAAGGAACGAAATCTTGGAAATACACCAACCCATTGCCACCTTTAAAAAATATGCCTACAGTATTAAATGTGATTTCATATTATTATTATACATTAGATGCAGGTCATGGACAGAGGTTAGGATATTCGCATGTGTATAAAAAAAGTAGCACACACTGGATTAACATAAATTCCAATACCCATGGATGCAGTCGTGTATTTGCCCTACTAGTTCAAATATCCCATGGAAATAAGCTACCAAAATGGAATGATCTTACAAAAATTCTTGAAAATAAACATGAACAGACAAACTTAATTACCAGTTGGAATAACAAACAAACAATGGGAAAATTTAGAGGAAAGCGTCTTTTCCACAAACTTAATTACCAGTTAGTTCTATATTGCACAAAACATGGAATAACAAACAGACAATAAGAAAATTTAGAGGAAAGCGTCTTTTCCATTGCTCTTCAGTCATGTTTGGACGACAATCGGTGAAAGATTTTTGAATAACGATCCCGATGGAATAAATATCAGGGATTCATGAAAGCTTGATATTGGCACCGGGGTTATGACAAAAATATCATAAAAAAAACAAAAAAATAAAGACGCAAAAATGTTAAACATAAAAAATCGAAATTGAAACCCGTGCATAGTATGAGCTGTTGCTTTAAAGAATTTGCCGATATATACTAAATATTTTCATGGTCGAACTCTTCTAATAAAAAGTTAATTTCATAAAAGTCTTACTATTGAAAATTCGATTATTTTTAAATTAGATGATGTTTTTTTAAAATCGTAAACTATAGTTTTAACTTTAAAATTAAGAAAATTTATCAATTTCTAATACTATTTTCAGTCTAATTATTAGATATTCTGATACCAGGAAATATGCTTTAGAGAAATATACTTTGCAGTCATTAACGGATTATAAAAAGATTTATTTTTACAATAAAGAAAATCTGTCATAAACAGAACAAAACAGAACATTTTATTTCTAATTTAGAGTCCATAACAGACAAGTATGAGATTATTACAATAATAGGAAAAGATAAAGATGATTAAAACTGAATATAAATCCCTCCCTTGAACAGAACATCTATTATGATATAGAGTTAAACGTTAAAAATGTACACGGACAGACAACAGCACGTCGTCCTCCGTCTACACTCAAGTACTCAAGGACAACTCTACTCCTCGAAAAAAAAAATGTCCATGTTTACTTCTTTTACTACAGATTATCATGATACACGATATGTATGCATCTCTAAATAAGGATAACATTTCTATTCAATTTCTAGCTACATGTATATGATTGTGTGACGACGTGTGCGTGAGGGGTGTATGTGGGACGGGGCTGGGAGAGAGAATATTAATTTCATTCTCAAAATATAAAAATATTTTTTTTTTCTATTGCTGGCTTGATTTTATAGTAACTTCATAGGATAGAGAGATATATCTTCCCTTACAGCCCAGGAAGTAATTTATCTGGGTTTCCTTTGAGGATAAAATTATTGCAACTTTGACCCAGGAAGATTGTCATCGACTTTAGTGGTTTAAATTCTTTCACGGAAGGTAAATTCCCATGTTCTACTTTTTTTTTTTGAGAAACATTGGTTTTCTTCCAATATACACACACCACATCCGTCGACCTAGAATAAAGACAAAAGATTTACTTGTACATGGATTAGTAAATTAGACTGGTTATTTTGATATCGCCAAAATAATTTTTACTGACGGATTTTACAGGCATGCAGTTACTGACCAAAAATTGAATGGAACAACTTTAGGCGTTTCCACGACGTGTGATAGTAGATCTACTCAAGTATCCGCTACTTGCTACGGAATGTAACCAAAGGCGTAAACCTTTGACAAGGAACAGGATTCCAACTTTTCAACCCTTGATCAACCTGAAACAAAAAGGAAACACAAACATGTATTATCTTGGCTTAGCTGATATGTACATATATGTACATCGTAGTCTATATATAAATATTCGGGTTTATAGATATTGATGGTATAATTTGAGAGAAAAGAGTGTTGTAAAAATCTTATAAAGTTTCACTCAACTTCAAATGGTCTATTAAAATTTCGACCCTTTTATAAAGATTGAATTTTCTTATAAAAGTGAAGACTGCTGACTGAAAACAGATAGTGATGAATTATGAGTTGACAATCAAACCACAACAAAACACTGCTACCTTAATGACATATTGCGTATAATGAGCATGTCTATATTTGTCTAAAAAAATAATATCACACGTGTTCAACAATTCCTGGCATTTCATGGGGGAAATATTACATGTTTGGCAGTGGGAAATAGTTATGTTCCTATATTTTTTTACTCTGTTTCTTATTATTATTATTATTATTAAATTTTTCTTCTTCCTGGGAAAATTTTGTCCACGAGTGATCTTGTAAACTACACAGCCGACTAAGGTGAAACCTTTTTAGGGTCAGTAGGCATCTTATGTAGAGTTGCCAAACAAAGGTCATTTTGCGCGCACGTGCTTGCAAGAGCGCGCACGTGCAACACCTTAAATGACCAATTTAAGGGATATTGCCGCAACTTTTCTATTTTTTGATGAAATTTTTTGAAACTCATAATGTAAGGATACATTAGTAGTATAGACATGATAGCATGGTGAAAATAGCAAGAACTCACGCGCATGCACGTGCGCTTCGCTTTGATTGGCTGAAACTAAAGTTTCAATATCTTTCTTGTTTCTTGTCATAATCCTTTGAAATTTTGAACATAGTCTTACATTATCAAGATCTACCGCATGATATATAAGAATTTCCATGAAAGCATGCGCATGTGCGTGTGCTGCAATCTGATTGGCTGAAACTTTAAATGGCTATTTCTCCTTTGTTTTTTGACGAAATTCTTTGAAATTCAAAATATAGTCATGCATTAGAATATCCTAAAATATGATGTAGAAAAATTCATGAAATCACGCGCATGCATGTGTGCTGCAATGTGATTCAAATATAACTGTTTTTCAATATACTTAGATTGTAATAAACTCTACAATATTATCATGCTTGGTTTTCAATAATTAAATATACACTTGAATGAGTGATTTTTATTACTTTTGGACTGAATGCTTTAATATATAGATAGTGTACACAAGATGATATGGTCATAACGCACATGCATTCACATGCGCTTGGGTGCAATGCTAAAATTTCAATATAATTGGTAAAAACGTTGTTAAAGTCAAAAATGCACATAGTTTGTCTTATTTAATGTTGAATATGGCAAAAAGGGAGTACTTTGATCAACAATTAGCACTAGTTTATTGTGATTTCCCTCTGACAAGGAAACCTGTATATGTACAACACTAAAACAAAAAGGCAGAAAAATAGGGTTTCCTTCTTATTCAATAAATGAATTTACGATTCTAAATATTATTATAGTTTTCAAAACCATTATTCGTCAAACTGTACACTTTTTGTCATCGAGCATGAAATTGAATGAAAAGCATTTTGGTCAAGTTGAAATATTCTTTGATCAAGTTATGACCTCTCCGTATATGAGATTAACAATCCCTGTACACTTTAAAGGAGAGTACGCAAACATTTTAAAGAAATTTTAAAGCAAATAAATAAACATCGTGTCTTGTAAGACTTCATTCCTCGTATAAATGCTAAGTGTGTAATTATGTCGACCATAAATAAATGTGATGTAGATTTAAGCCCCAGGTAGATTACAGATCGCTATCAGCTTAACTTAATCTTAATGATTGTATTGAGGGTATCTCAATTATGTTGTCAAACTTAATCGTATTCCTTATATGGCGATGAGTCATTACCTTATATGGCAAACGGCCGAGGACATGAAGCGCGATTTCGTGGAATTGGGCGTAGAGTGCGGATATAAGGTCAGTTTTCCTACGAGAGTGTTCACTCTGACCAGAGAAGCAGAACAAGACACACGAGTTCTTACCAGCTCATAATACGATTATCTAATCTTTCACAATGGCAGACGATGATGTTGCGGCTTTAGTTATCGACAATGGATCCGGAATGTGCAAAGCTGGATTCGCCGGAGACGATGCCCCCAGGGCTGTGTTCCCCTCCATCGTCGGACGCCCCAGACATCAGGTAAATATACTTTCTTCGTAATTAAAAAAAAGTGAGACTGAAAACTTAATTCTCTTTCAAAGAAATTGTTAATTTTCCTTTCATTCTGTATATTACTATTTCGCAAACCTTTGTTCTTGGTGTTCTAGTATCTTTAAATGTTGTATAATTATGTTAACACATGCAGTGTGAGAATTTTTAGGTAAGTGGGCGTTAACGCCTCCCCCCCCCATTTTTTTTTTAAAGAAGAGATTTAGGAAGTCTTAACTCCTCATAGAAAATTTCTATATATTTCTCCAATTAAGCAATCATAAAAAAAAACATTAGACGGTACTATAGCTATTTAGGAAGGGGGCGTTTCCACGTTTGACTCGTAATATTCAATCTTATCAGTGATAGTGGAACATGCATAGCTGATCTAATATGACTAGAATGAAATTACTTCAGCACGTGTTTGTAATAAGTATGGGAAACTGATAAGTTAGTCAAGAAGAAACATAATAAATGTATTTGCATATAACAGCAAGACTTAGGGCGTATGAATTACTAAGAAATATATTGTCTAAAACTATATGCCGCAGAAAAGAACAAATTTTTAAGAAGAATAGCTATGTAATTGTAAATTTTTTTTCAGGGTGTGATGGTTGGTATGGGACAGAAGGACAGCTATGTAGGAGACGAGGCCCAGAGCAAGAGAGGTATCCTCACCCTCAAATACCCCATCGAACACGGCATCGTCACAAACTGGGACGACATGGAGAAGATCTGGCATCACACCTTCTACAATGAACTTCGTGTGGCCCCAGAGGAACACCCCGTCCTTCTGACCGAGGCTCCACTTAACCCAAAAGCCAACAGAGAAAAGATGACACAGATCATGTTCGAAACCTTCAACTCCCCCGCCATGTACGTCGCTATCCAGGCTGTACTTTCCCTGTACGCTTCCGGTCGTACAACTGGTATTGTACTCGACTCCGGAGACGGTGTATCTCACACTGTACCCATCTACGAGGGATACGCCCTTCCACACGCCATCATGAGATTGGATCTAGCTGGTCGTGATCTGACAGATTACCTCATGAAAATCCTCACAGAACGTGGTTATTCCTTCACAACCACAGCTGAAAGAGAAATCGTCAGAGACATTAAAGAGAAATTGTGCTATGTTGCTCTAGACTTTGAACAGGAAATGGCAACTGCTGCTTCATCATCATCCCTGGAGAAGAGCTACGAACTTCCTGACGGTCAGGTCATCACCATTGGCAACGAGCGATTCAGGTGCCCAGAGGCCTTGTTCCAGCCATCTTTCCTTGGAATGGAATCTTCTGGAATCCATGAAACCACATACAACAGTATCATGAAATGTGATGTTGATATCCGTAAAGACTTGTACGCTAATACAGTTCTGTCAGGTGGTACCACTATGTATCCCGGTATTGCTGACCGTATGCAGAAAGAAATCACAGCTTTAGCTCCCAGCACAATGAAGATCAAGGTCATTGCTCCACCAGAGAGGAAATACTCCGTCTGGATCGGTGGTTCTATCCTTGCTTCTCTATCCACCTTCCAACAAATGTGGATCAGCAAACAGGAATACGACGAATCTGGTCCATCCATTGTCCACAGGAAGTGCTTCTAGATCATGTTAAACTGAACAAATCCTGAAATGTGCAATAAAACTGTTCTGCTTGTAGGTTATATGTGAAGAATGAATGGTGATTAAATGTTGTATGTTGTATATTTTTGATGATGAATGAATAAATTCTGTTTACAATTGATTTCTCGTTTTCTTATGTGCAATGCACATATTTAATTGTTATTTGGAAAGATAATGATTTGTCAAAAGATCTCGAAAGTCGCTTAAATGCGTCGGTAGAAAAAAGGTTAAATGCTTTTGATTTAAAAATGATCAGTTAGAATATCAGCATTAGTGTTTTTAGGAATTTACTCCTTCAAACTAATTTTATTTCGTACCTAATCTCGTAACAAAGTCTGATTTGCAGAGGCAAAACAATTTTAAGTCTCATTGTTTTGATACTGGGACCAGTTAAAGCACATAATCAGCAGCACTACATTAAATAGAAGATCATGTACGTGTTGTCTAAACTATATATCATCATATGGTATTTGTAGAAAGGATATTTTACTCCATGTTTTGCTGCAAAATCAAAGATGTTAAGTGAACAAACTCGCAACTTTGATTGGTCACTCGACCTTTGCATGGGTCCAGATTATTTCTAAACCAATACACCCACATCCGTCCAGATAAGATAATGGACCGCGTCTGAACCTAAATGGGTAAATGATAATATTCACACTTGACCTTTGAAATCGCACAATATTATCATAGCAAAGTCCCTCGTATTTTTTTATTCTCAATGTTCAAGTTTTTGTACAAAATAATCGAACCATATTTTAATACAGGAAGTACACAGTCTCAGGTGCTTTGGTCTTAATAATCGGAATATGTATGGTAAATTATGTACATGTGTTTGTATGTATTATGCATATAGGTTGTCTCAATAAATTCAAACCTGTATGCATAGTACGCCTACCTGATGGAACACTTGATTGATCTTGGTTGCACACCTGACAGTCATATGACATAACAGGTGCTCGCCGTAAAACACGTGCTTGTTGATTACCACAAGCGTTTGCATGGAAGACAAATAATAACAATTCCCACCTAGAGAGATGTGATTATAATATTTTACTGAAGTTTACCACCTCATAAGTGTAGGGTGGTGATATAAGATGTATGTTAAGTCAGAGAGACAAGCACATAGTATCAGTGATATTCCTCTATCCCCGCTTTATCAATATTCCAAATATAACCCCCTTTCTCTTGACAGTGTTCATTGTGCTGAGTATAATGTAATACATAACGAAAATAAGCTCATTTTAAAGCCCCCCCCCCTTTTTACAAAATATATTTTGAAGTTTGGAAAAAAAAACTTTTTTTCAGGTACAAATATTTTTTGCTGAACACCCCCCTTCCTTTTCAAAAACGTGCATGAGAAATTGTTCTTTCTAAATATAAATATTTGAGAAAAAATTAAAACATACAATTATGAACTTATTCAAACATTTCATGACATTGCTACTATAATGTTAATTATATACTAGTATACTTTCTAAACAAGAGGCCCATGGGCCACATCGCTCACCTGAGAATCTTTTGTCATATTGTTCTTTACCAGATTTCTCCCTTGTAATACATGTTGTGGCCCCGCCCTACCCCCTGGGGTCATGATTTGAACAATTTAGAATCTACACTACCCCAGGGTGCTTCCATATCAGTTTCAGTTTTTCTGGCCCAGTGGTTCTTGAGAAGAAGATTTTCAAAGATTTTTTCTATATATTTCTATGTAAAACATTTTTACCCCATTGTGGCCCCGCCCTACCCCCGGGGGTCATGATTTGAACAATTTAGAATCTACACTACCCCAGGGTGCTTCCACATGAGTTTCAGCTTTTCTGGCCCAGTGGTTCTTGAGAAGAAGATTTTCAAAGATTTTTCCTATATATTTTTATGTAAAACTTTGATTCACCATTGTGGCCCCGCCCAACCCCAAGGGGTCATGATTTGAACAATTTAGAGTCTACACTACCCCACAATGCTTTCACATGAGTTTCAGCTTTTCTGGCCCAGTGGTTCTTGAGGAGAAGATTTTCAAAGATTTTTCCAATATATTTCTATGTAAAACTTTCATTCCTCATTGTGGCCCCGCCCTACCCTCGGGGGTCATGATTTGAACAATTTAGAATCTACACTACCCCAGGGTGCTATATAGTTTTTTTCTGGCCCAGTGGTTCTTGAGAAGTAGATTTTCAAAGATTTTTCCTATATATTTCTATGTAAAACATTGATGCCCCATTGTGGCCCCGCCCTACTCCCGGATGTCATGATTTGAACAATTTAGAATCTACACTCTCTCTTCCACATCAGTTTCAGCTTTTCTGGCCCAGTGGTTCTTGAGAAGAAGATTTTCAAAGATTTTTCCTAAATATTTCTATGTAAAACTTTGATTCACTATTGTGGCCCCGCCCTACCCCCTGGGGTCATGATTTGAACAATTTAGAATCTACACTACCCCACAATGCTTCCACATGAGTTTCAGCTTTTCTGGCCCAGTGGTTCTTGAGAAGAAGATTTTCAAAGATTTTTCCTATATATTTCTATGTAAAACTTTGATTCACCATTGTGGCCCCGCCCAACCCCCGAGGGTCATGATTTGAACAATTTAGAATCTACACACTATCCCAGGGTGCCTCCACATAAGTTTCAGCCTTATTGGCCCAGTGGTCCTTGAGAAGAAATTTTTTAATGACCTCACCCTATTTATTGTCTTTTCTTGATTATTTCCCCTTGTGAGGGGACTTGGCCCTTCATTTTAACAATTTAAATTCCCCTTTGGCCAAGAATGCTTTGTACCAAGTTTGGTCAAAATTAAAGTGGTTCTTGAGAAAAAAAATGTGAAAAGTTTACAATTATGAACAGACAGACAGACAACATTTCAGACGGATTGCTACTATAAAATGTAATAATAAGCTACTTGAGCCTTCGGCTCAGGTGAGCTAAAAAGTAATAAGCATAAATTTAATGCTTCTTGTTTTTTTCTGTGGTAAACATATGTTTAAAACGTGTGAATGGATATCAGCAATTTTATCTCTTATCACTTAATTTCATTTGATTTTGTAATTTAAATTATAAAGTACAAATATTCTATGCAATAAGATCTTTACAAATAAACATACTAATTTTTGCAAGAAATTTATATTTTATTTCTCTTAGTGTAATATTGTTATATCTGTGTTTAAATATATGTTGAGTATAAATTGATCATTAAAAACTGGATATCATTTTTTTACCACTTGTAAAAATATATTTTAAACATACTTTTATGACTTAGAATTCACAATTTATGATTACATATACAAACTTCAACAAGTCCGTTATTATTGTTTTGTTGGTTTTTGAAACTATAGGAAATTATAACAATAACAGTTTTTAAACATGTCTTAAAAATACATGTATGTTATATCTCAGTTTAATTTGTACGAATATTGTTCACGTTTCTTTTTTTACTGAAAAGGAAAAAAAAAATCACGAATTTTATATGCTTTTCCTTCTTTTTGAAGTGTTTATGTTGTCTGCTTGGTTTTTCTTTCACAATTTTGTCTATGTATAAATCACAGCGGCCTGTAACATACTGTATTTGATTTTACGTAATCACTATATGTATACAAAAAGGATCCTTTTTTGTATATATATAGTGATTACGTAAAATCAAAAACAGTATGTTACCGGCCCCTGTATGTTAGTCATATTTTTAAAACCTCTTCACAAAAAGGCTTCAGATCCAATACACAAAAGACATAGAAGAAAACACTAACATAAATTATAGCTGATGATTAGAGTTCGTACAAAGACAGTCTATCAATATCCTCAATATTTTTTAAGGTTGGATATTTTTTTTCCCCCAGAAAATTCCTATGAACTTTATTTCATTGGTCCAATAGTTCAGGATTCGTGCAATCTGATTAAAATCATATCCTTTGATCCGCTCACATAGATCGCTACGCAAGCGATTGTATAGCGATCTATGTGAGCGGATCAAACATCTGATTTTAATCAGATTTGGATTCGTGAGTACTATTTTAAGCCAAAATGAATTTTAAGTTTGTAAGTTATGGTTGAATAAAAACAATGACATACGATTTATACAAGTAAATGAAAAAGTATAGAAAATTCATAAGAAAACGACTTGAGTCAGTCAATGCCTCCTTCAAATATCCCTATACTAGGAATACAGCTGTATGAAAAGTTATCGGTCTTATAACAGTGGATACGGAGAGGGACAGGCCGACTTTGGGGCAGTAATTCATAATAATGTACTAATTTTTGGACGTCATTTCTATAAATACCGCTGATCGAATTTTAAAGTTTACAATTCTTCAGCATACCTTATATGGAGACAAGTACTTTTTGTATTGATAAATTTTGTATACGGGTAATAAATGCATAACAAATGTCTATTTCAGCTTCAGGATGCGCGCGCGCGCGAGAGGAGAAAAATAATTAAGACGGCTATTGGGTCTATTTTTGAATGTGACACGAAACAAGAGTTATCAAAGACCTTGGCATGTACCAATACGGTCCCTATAAGGCAAAGTAAAAAGAACTACCCGTCTTTTTTCCCCTTATAAGGACGCAGTTACCAAACTAATGGGCGTGGGTCTATGTTCTCTGTAAATGTTGTACGACTATATATATAGCGTTGCAGGTTATTGGAAACGACAGACTTGTTAATCGAATCAATATACCCCTTTCACTGTTTACAATTAAAGGAAACTAAAATAGCGAGAAATGGCAGACGAAGATGTTGCAGCTTTAGTTATTGACAATGGATCCGGAATGTGTAAAGCCGGATTCGCCGGAGACGATGCCCCCAGGGCTGTGTTCCCCTCCATTGTCGGACGCCCCAGACATATGGTAAGGCAACGATAACACAATTCTCAGATATCAATGCATATTTAGTAAATTATGAAAAAGTTTAAATCATATATAAAATCATCATAAAATTAATATTTGCTTCAGACACATACATTAAAGAGTAGTCCGAAATATTTTACGTTTTCAAGATTTGATTTTTTTTTATGTGCAAGGAAAACTTCAGAACCGGCTCCATAACAGAAACTGGAAATTTCGCCGCCTCCAACATGAGTTGATTTTCGACATTTGCGAACCGAATTAATACAGAAAACAGAATGTATCAATATCTCAATACATCTAGTACTCTCCAATATTTATTAAATGAAAACATCACTCCACATTTCGATTAAGTACTTGCAAGATTTTAAAATGCATGCAAAGAAAACAAATCTCGTCAGTCCGATAAGATGTTTTCATCGGATTGTTTATTTTATAAACGAATCATAAAAAACGATGTTGATGACTGGTGAGTCTAAAAGTATTGTACTATTATTACATCGTGAGTTTGTCATTTAAAGGTTCTCAAGTATCGAAAATCAACCCGAGATTGCTGCATCTGGTTGGAGGCGGCGAATTCCCAGTTTTCGTAATGGCACCGGTTCTGACGTTTTCCTGGCACGTAAAATATCAAAATCGCAAAAAAGCGAAGAAAACGCAAGATATATCGAACTAGTAAAAGAGAGGGACATAAATCGACATGTGAAAGTTTTTGGTATGAAATAATTCAGAAACAAAATTTTTCAGGGTGTGATGGTTGGTATGGGACAGAAGGACAGCTATGTAGGAGACGAGGCCCAGAGCAAGCGAGGTATCCTCACGCTCAAATATCCCATCGAACACGGCATCGTCACAAACTGGGACGACATGGAGAAGATCTGGCATCACACCTTCTACAATGAACTCCGTGTGGCCCCAGAGGAACACCCCGTCCTTCTGACCGAGGCTCCACTTAACCCAAAAGCTAACAGAGAAAAGATGACACAGATCATGTTCGAAACCTTCAACTCTCCCGCCATGTACGTCGCTATCCAGGCTGTACTTTCCCTGTACGCTTCCGGTCGTACAACAGGTATTGTTCTCGATTGTGGAGACGGTGTATCTCACACTGTACCCATCTACGAGGGATACGCCCTTCCCCACGCCATCATGAGATTGGATCTCGCTGGACGTGATCTGACAGACTACTTCATGAAAATCTTCACAGAACGTGGATATTCCTTCACCACCACAGCTGAAAGAGAAATCGTCAGAGACATTAAAGAGAAATTGTGCTATGTTGCTCTAGACTTTGAACAAGAAATGGCAACTGCTGCCCAATCATCATCTTTAGAGAAGAGCTACGAACTTCCTGACGGTCAGGTCATCACCATTGGCAACGAACGATTCAGGTGCCCAGAGGCCATGTTCCAGCCGTCCTTCCTTGGAATGGAATCCTCTGGAATCCATGAAACTACATTCAACAGCATCATGAAATGTGATGTTGATATCCGTAAAGACTTGTATGCTAATACAGTATTATCTGGTGGTTCAACTATGTTTCCCGGCATTGCTGACCGTATGCAGAAAGAAATCACAGCTTTAGCTCCCAGCACAATGAAGATCAAGATCATTGCTCCTCCAGAGAGGAAATACTCCGTCTGGATCGGTGGTTCTATCCTTGCTTCTCTATCCACCTTCCAACAGATGTGGATCAGCAAACAGGAATACGACGAATCTGGTCCATCCATCGTCCACAGGAAGTGCTTTTAAAAACGAGCTGTGAATTCAGCTAGTGGACAAAATTATGCATAGTTCACATTGCAATAATGTGTAAACAATGTGTTTAGTATGAAACTATCATCCCTTATCGTTTTGGATTGGGGGTATAATTAATGACATTGTTTAACGGGTACAGTTATTGATAAATTACATATAATAGACTATTCTGTATGTCTGTCAGTAAAATATCATCTGGTACTATCATTGTCGATTTGTTTTATTATGTAGCTTATAATGTAGCTTAGAGAGTTGTACATAAAATTGCTCAAAAGATGAAACTGAATGAAGGAAAAAATAAAATGAATTGAATTTATTCAAAAGCTTTTTACGTTGTGCACGAATTTCCTTGTATGTACGTTATTTAGATGTCAGACATTCTTCAAAGTCTTAACGTTTTACGGAGTAGAAGACTTTTGTTGAAAATATACGTATGAAATACTGTAGAAGTACTTTTTTCCGCATGGTATTAATTTATTTACGCTATGTACGCGGTCACAAATTTTCCGCGGAAATTTGTCCGAGCGTACTTAATATAAATGTAAGGCATTTAGTATTAATTTATTTACGCTATGTACGCGGTCACAAATTTTCCGCGGAAATTTGTCCGAGCGTACTTAATATAAATGTAAGGCATTTAGTGACCGTCTAAGAAATCCGCGTAATTTTCTACCCGCAGATGAAACAGAAATTGAAATTCCGCGGAATTATGACCCCGTGAAAATAAAAGTACTACTATTAAGCACTATTGCTATTTATATTTCTAATAGATGTAGCGCAATTCTCTGTTATCCTTGGACTTTCATTACCTTTTCCCCGGTCATTAAGAATAAAAATAACTGCATCCAATCATGAGATAGGGTCTTCTATATCAAAAGATTAAATATTTTTGCTTTTTGCATCAAAAGATATCACTATATAGGATCTATAAGATGATATAACCAAATTGACTCAAAAAATTTTTGGCTAATCCGAATTTTCTCTGTTTTCTTAATTTCTTAGGATATTTAAGTTATTTTTATATGCGCCCTATATTTAATTTTGTCTTATTTTCACATATGGTAAAGCAGTCATATGGAGATACAAAAGGATACAAAAACAAAACGTTTTGACCGTTTAGTAAGAGAGTAAAAACACTTTCTATGGATTTTTAGCTCATATCTGTACTTAGAGGAGAAGCTAACATAATTGTAGATTGTTTGGAAATTCATATTTATTTTATATATTTTAAAACTTTAGTTCCTTATTATTAATTTAGCTAACATTTGAAAAATTATCCTAGTCTTTGATTGTGTAAAAATTATAAATAAATTCGTAGTTTTATGATAATTTTGAGAAGCAGAAAAGAAGATATTTTCATACCACCATTCGGCCAAAAGTATAGTCCCTGCTAGTTTTCGAACACGATATACCAGGGACCTATATACTATACTAGTTATTTAGTATATAGGTCCCTGGATATACCATTTCTATTTAAAGTTGTTCAATTGTGATGAGGAAAGAAAAATATGGTCTTTTAAATCTTTCACCTAAATATATAAGACATTTAAGCAAATATACATATATATTTCATCTACTCAAAAACTAGAGAAGAATCTTACCTTAAAAGTGAAATTCTGGCAACTTTGTGTTTCATATACAGTATCTTGCATAAGCTTTAATATAAAGTTTTATTTATCATTTTCACCACTGGGAAGTTTAAAAACACAGTGCATAATACATATAAATACTATTTTGCGGAAACGTTTGAAAAACTTTTTGCGGGAAAGTAAAAATGACATGTTTTGACTTTTTATTTTTCAGAAACGTAACACTGTTTTTAAGAAGCATTAGTTTTACGAAGATTCATGTGTAATATGCAAAAGAAGTTTTCGGATTTTAAAGTTATTAAATAGTGCTTTTAAAATATCCTATTGCTACTTGAATAACAAAAACAAATTCAAAGAATAGGTTATTGTCCCTCGCTTTTGCAAAGGAGAGGGGACATTAAACTTCATTGGTCTATCTGCTAGTTAGTCAGTGTGCAACAAAAATTTTGACCTTGGTCATAACTTTTGAATTAGAAGAGATAGGGTTTTCATATAAATTTCACATGTACAAATCCTGTGGCAAGACCTTTGCAAACATATTATGACTTAATTTTCAAATATTTCATCAGAATTGCTAACAGTATCTCCCATTAACTTAGACACCGACAGCGAGGGACCACAATTCCTTTAATTTTCTTATTGCACTACATCTGCATAGCAATGTTTTAAACACCACATCAATTTATTTAAATTACTGCGTGGTAACCTTATCATCTTATTTGATAAAGAAACACCAACTGGGAAAAAGAAATGTAAATTATTTCAACATTTAATAGGTCTCTGAAACCAGAAGACCACGTCCCCTTTTTCCTCCCTCTCTCTAAGCTTTCCCTTTCCTATCACCAAAATCAAACAGGGCCGTATTTCTGACATCCCCTTCCAGATCCACCGATGTCCTAAAACCGTGTAAAACCTTCCTAAATAATGTTAAATTAATTAATTCTTTATCAATGGCATATGAAGATTACTTACAATTTGATGGCTAATTAAGAGAAGAAAATTACTCTAGCATAACAACACCCCCTCCTTGAAAGTCTCCTGTAAAACACATTTCTTCAATGGGGAAAGTCTACTCAGTATTCTAATGAAAAAATTGGACAGGTGAAATCTAGCTCTATATATCACAAAAATCAACCCTATATGTATAGCAGTTAACGCATCTAGCTACATGTATATTTGGCGGTTGCATTCCTAACTAATCCACTTGTGCATATGCTTACCTAGATGTTTTAGAGATTAACTCTGGTTAATATTTAAATTATGCAGGTGTTTTAATTGTTCGGATATTTGGTAGTAATGCATTGCACTATACGTTGTATTCGCCTATCCTCTCTTAGTGCAGCTGTAGTAAATGGGGGAACCTAACTTTGTTCGTAAGGATGTTTCAAATAAAGTGACAGATTACTGATGTTTTGAACATATTTTGTTGTACAATTCATACAAAAGGATTGGTTACAAGTTCAAGAAAAACTCAGAAAACCTTTCCCTTTGATATGTATGCTTAGATTACTGATCAACCAGAAACGGTCAGAACTAAGATAAATAGATGAATAACTAGATCAGTATACACTGTATGTACAAACTTAATTAATCAAATAAAGAAATAAATGAATTTAGATAAAGAAATAAAATCCCAGAAAAATAAAATTCACACTAAAAATGTTTTAAAATTAACCAAAACTTTGTAATCGCACCTTTAGATGATGAATAAAAAAGGGTCTGATAAAAACCAAACAACAAACAAGTCATAATGTTAATACTATTTTATAACTGTTTTAATCGACCATGAACAGCTGACTTGTATCACAAGTTTGCGCAGTTTATACTGACGTGTCATTTCTTCGTCATGCCTCTGGACACACACCTACAGCTAGAAATGATCGTCTCAGCTTTTTTTTAAATACCTGAAACCTGTTGACACATATTCATACCGACCTCTGTTAAACCACTTCCTGCGGGTATATCAGGTTATTCCCAGATATTTAATCTCAAACACCTTTTTACCATATAAGGTAATTTTTTTCTAGTTGACCGTGTATTTAAACAGACGCTTTGATTGGGCTCTTCATTCACAAGATAACATTTTACCTGGAGATTCTACAGTGAAGAGAATTTAATTTTACAACCAAAAATGGGAGACGAAGACGTTGCAGCTTTAGTTATTGACAATGGATCCGGAATGTGTAAAGCCGGATTCGCCGGAGACGATGCCCCCAGGGCTGTGTTCCCCTCCATCGTCGGACGCCCCAGACATCAGGTAAGAAAAAATTTGATTTTCACAATTGTAAAAGACAGAAAAGCTTAGGTTCTTTGTTAACTCTGTCCTGTTTTCTCTTGTCTCTTTGATAATTATGTACTACCAGTATTTCTTTTCTATAAAAAAGATTTAAAAATCAAATTGAAAATGAAAAACTATCATTGACCTTGGTATAACAAAATTGAGGCGTGGCACTTATATAAAAACAATTTTACAAAAGAAAGTCTACTGTGAATGTGATTAGCTTTCATACAAGTTATTAAGCTTGTACAAATGCCCACAGTTTCAGTCTAAATCTGCAAGTATCAAGTCTGTATAATTAAATATATAAGTTTCGATATTAAAAATGCTTTTTATGTCACACCTCATAAAACAGAGTCGCCATATTGTAGTGTTGCTTAGAAAAACCAGAAGTCTGAAACAAAAAAAGTGAAATGAGTCCTAAATTATATTGCACCAAAACAACGTTGAAGTCTTGGATCTACACTTGGTCATGCAACCACGTGTGAACTAAGCATCTCTAGCTATAGCGTTGAGGGGATGATTATTAAGATTTGAATTTATTTCTTGCTAAAATAGTTCATGCAATTTTGATGTATTAAAATTCACGAATGTTTAAATTACTTTAAAGGGTGTGATGGTTGGTATGGGACAGAAGGACAGCTATGTAGGAGATGAGGCCCAGAGCAAGAGAGGTATCCTCACCCTCAAATACCCCATCGAACACGGCATCGTCACAAACTGGGACGACATGGAGAAGATCTGGCATCACACCTTCTACAATGAACTCCGTGTGGCCCCAGAGGAACACCCCGTCCTTCTGACCGAGGCTCCACTTAACCCAAAAGCCAACAGAGAAAAGATGACACAGATCATGTTCGAAACCTTCAACTCCCCCGCCATGTACGTCGCCATCCAGGCTGTACTTTCCCTGTACGCTTCCGGTCGTACAACTGGTATTGTACTCGACTCTGGAGACGGTGTATCTCACACAGTACCCATCTACGAGGGATACGCCCTTCCCCACGCCATCATGAGATTGGATCTCGCTGGACGTGATCTGACAGACTACCTCATGAAAATCCTCACAGAACGTGGATATTCTTTCACAACCACAGCTGAAAGAGAAATCGTCAGAGACATAAAAG